GTGAGCAACTGTTTTGCTATGTAAGAATGTTAACCTTAAAACATGAAAAAAACCTCACATACCTGCAATTTTCCCCATAACCGACATTTATCACATCCAACACAATCCATTATGCGAGATATGTTTTTGAAATGCAATCTGAATTCTTCCTACCAATACAGAAAAACATGTTTAAAGCTTTTTCTAATGCATTAGTGATTCTAAAGATGATGGTCCAACATTCTCGTCTCTCAATGTTTTCTTTACTTGCTAATTTTGTGTACCTTTTTCCTTTCAGAGGTAACCATTTAAGCCTTCAAACTAATTAGTTCAAACCATAGTTTGCAACCATTTTTAATCTGATAGCAAGCTGGGTGGGAGTATCCATTGTTAATGCTATAAATTCTGTATCAGTTTCATTAAGTACTATTGGCTTTGAAAAAGATACGTTGACAAAAGGATGAAATGAACATTGCTTTTGTACTGCCCCTTTTGTAAATGTGTGCAACAACATATCTAAAAAAAGGTGGAGTTTGCATTAAAATGACATAACACTTGTTCCATCATTTGATCCCCGCCCCGGATGCTTTTTTCATATTCTCATAAAGAGAAAAAGTTTCATTTTTCATGTAGTAAAGAAGCTTATGAATTGGCATTTACCATAAAGCTATAAAGTATAGCTGTAAATCAACAGTAGAGATACAAAGATGACTCAAAATTATGCAAGTAGATAGCACAACAGAGATTCCGATTAATGGCATAATCTACTGGCAATACTGATCTGGAATCTTACATTCTAATGACTTGCTTGCTACTTTTCTGAAATATTACTTGTAAGAACTTAAAAGTATCTTGATGTTTAATGATGTTGCCTCAAATATAAAACAATATAATGAAATGCACACACAAAAGCATGATTTAATGTAATTTAAAATTTCTTTCGTTTCTGCAATTTATGTAAATGTCAAGGTAAAAACTATGTTTACCTTTAAAGATATGGCCTCCTTTTTGTTTCCAGAAAACATGGACTTTTCATCAAAATGCATAGGAAAGGACCTAGAAAAATTAGATAATGAATTAGACTTATTTA